AAGTCACTTTTCAGACCACCTTCCTGGTTCCCCCATCCTACTCCAAACCTGAGGGTCCCAGGAGAGAGCAGGCAGCATGCCTGCAGCAGAGGGAGGGTAGAGCTAAGTAGAGCTAAGGGCTGGAGGGAACAGGAACTGTGTGTCAGCTACACGCCATTCACACCTCTAGTGAAAGAGGCGGGTGGGGAGTAGAAGGAGAGGCACGAACAGTGCGAGGAAGAAGGCCAGGGAAGGATAGGGACAGAAAACTGAAGATGGAAAGACACATGAAGACTCAGAGAGAAAGTGAGAGAGACAGAGGCAAGGGGAAACAGACAGAAACTCACCCAGAGAGGATGCTCCAACGGGCAGGGACTTTTCCTAAAGCTGGGTACAAAGCCAGAGAAACGGTGGTGTGAACAGACCTGGGGAGGACGGCGTCTGTGCCAGGTGGGCCCACCCGTGCCCTGGGAGGGCACCTCCAGCTGGCTCCGGGCCTGTTTCCCAGCGCCAGCTCCATGCTGCTCCCTCCTCCCCCTCCCCCCAGTGCCCTTGCCCTGTCCCCTCATCTGTAAGATCCTGGGATATGCAGGGACACTTAATCCATATGGAGCTGATTCATTCCCATCTAAATCATCTCCTTGAGCTTCCCTAAGAGCCCTCTGATGTGCCAGCCGCCATCCCTCTCCCCCGGCGATGGCGGGCTGGGGGCTGCCAGTAAACAAAACTCAGCAGCCATCCATCCATCCTGGTGTCGTCCGTCAGTCCAGCCAAGACCATTCATCTCTCCAACCCTGCTCCCGACCCCCGCTTCACCCCTCCAGTCCCTCCTTCTGTCTGTCTGTCTGTCCCTCTGTGTGTCCCCTCCTCCTCATGCCCCTCAACTAGAACCTCCACCTCTCTGCCTCGTCCTGGGTAGGATCTTAAGGGGTCATGTCGGCCACGCCCCTGCCTGCAGACAGGATACCTCACCCCTGGCTCAGCAAGGCAGGGGCTCTCCTGGTTCACCGCCTTCCAAGAGGAAAGGTCTTTTGATGATTTTACTGTACAACGTTGACAACCCATGCTCAAGGAAGTTCTTTCTTCTGTCTAGCTCGCGTGTCTGAGGTCCACATATGATCACATGTCTGAGCGGGGGTGAAGGTAAGATTATGGGGTTCTGTACAAACATGAGGGTCTCCAGGATTTGTAATATGTACTTCTCTGGGTCTCTAGCAGCAAGAGTCAGGCCCGTGCCAAGCATATAGTGGATGCTCCGTGTCAGTTGCTTACTGGCCATGATCTTACCTGTCAGCTCCAGTGAGTCCAGAGGCCTCACATATACCCCAGGGAGGTTTTCAGTGAACTGATCCAGTGGGTTTGATACAGGGCCCAGATCGTGGCACTCTAGCCTGGCAGGTTGGCAGGAAACACGAAGGAAGTGTCTCTCACTTCTGCCCTCCCACCCAAACTCCTTAGCCCTGTCCTGGGGGTGGCGCTTGCCCAGACAACTCTGTCTTGGCAATGATGGGCTGAAGAGGAGGAGAGTAAACAAGCAGGTGCTGGGTATCTTCCATGGCACCAAAGCAGAACCCTCACATTTGGGGAAAGCCCTTAGGTTTACACGGACTGATAAGGAGAGAGCGGGGGGGATTGCTGCCCCTGGCCCCAGTCTCAGGCATGGTGGCCCTTCCCCCATCAGGTTCTTCATGTCAGCCTGGGAAGGGTAATTCTGGGAACGGGCTGGGGCTCTGCTAGCCTCTCATGAGGGGAGACGGGAGCATTTCTTCTGGTCCCATCTCAGTTTCTCCGTCCACAGCAGCAGTGGGAGTGGGGGAACAGGGCTGTCTCTGGAGTAGAGTTGGGGTCAGACTCTAGCAGCCCTGCAGGGGGATGATTTGGGCATGGGTGAAAGGGTTTAGGGTGGTGGAAGTGGAGCCACAGGGAGGGATGAGGGCAGCATTTGTGGATCCCACAGTAACAGTGAGTGGGAGAGGCAGAGGAGAAGGAGGTGGGGAGGCCGAGTCTTCGGATGGCCTGAGGGGGCTGGTACTCCAGCACCCCCCTGAGACCCAGGACACCTTGCTGAGCATCTGACCCCCCCTCAGGCCAGACCAGACCAGGTAGAGAGTCCCACCGCGTGGGTGCCCCCTCCTGCACTCTATTTCACAGCGCCTTTCCCCCTTGTCATTGGTCCCCTCCAGGGAGCCACTGTGAGCGCACAGAACAGGTGGGGCTCTCCCAGCTGCTACCCAGCTGTGAAGAACCCTGACCATACCCCCCTCACCCCCCTGCAGGAGAGAAGGTTCTTATTCTAGCCGGAAAGATGAGAAGGATGGTACGGGGAGAGCGTCCAGAGGGGTGCGTGGAAGCTAACCACTTGCCCCAGTTGTGTGAACATATGTGTGGGAGGGGAGGGGCCTGCAGGTGGCAAGGCCCAGCTTAAGAATGATGGAGTGTTTCTTAGTTCTCTGAGCTAGAGACATATGGGCTATACAAGACCAAGCAAAATGAGAAATTATTGCTTAAGAGAGAGAGGACATGGGGGAATAAGAAAAAATTCAAGCCAGGGAGACCCAGTGCCACTTGCCCCCTCGCCATCATGACCTGACCCATCTGTGCGTGACTGGATCAAAGTCCAAGGGGAGGGAGAGGTCTGAGAACTGACCCTCAGGGCCTCTGGCGGGGGAAAAGCTGATCCTCCGAACATGCATTTCCCCGATGTTACACAGAGCACGGGGAGCTGGGAACAGCCACCCAAATTCTCCAGGTGGGACAGTGGGTGGAGCTTTCTCCATCTTCCTCTGTCCTTCTTGTGCCCGCCTCTCTCTCCATCCCTCCCCTCTCTCTAGTCCAATGGGGAACCAGTTCTCTCTTCTCCCGCTGGCCTGTCTCTCATGGTTCTCCCCGGCACTGAGCCTTCCTCATCCACTCAGTGGCTCCCACCCTCTCTTGTCTCCTCTGAATGTCCCCTTCCTGCACCAAGCCTCCTAGGCTTTGTCTGTCCCCACGTAGGCCCCTCCCCCTAAGTCAAGTTCACTTACCCAACCTTGTGGCTGATGCAAGTCCTTTAGGGTCCACTGTGGGCTGGTGCCTTTGTCCAGCTCCAGGGCTGGAGTTTCTCTGGTCCGTCTGGCCTCTATCCCTCAATATCCACGTGTCTGGTTTAGACTGTGACCTCCACAGGGCTGGCAAGGATCCAAGTGTTTCTGTGGTCACCAGCACAGCTCCGGGAGCAACCTGATTTTTGATAGAGTTGACAGCTTTTCTTTTGATTCGATGAGACAGAAGCAGCTAGAAGGACGCTGAGACGTCTTAGAGGACCACTGAGTGTGACTAAGGCACTTCCTCCAGGGAAGCCACCTCCTGCTACAGCAAGCAGTGACTAAGGCTGGACAGCAAGAACTTCTGAAGACTCTTAAGGTGGAAGGAAAGATTTCCAGGGTTTCTGTGAAGACGTTGGGGAGGGATGGCCTTAACCTTTTCAAGCTCAGAGGGAGCAGAGGGGTCTGTGAATCTGGAGAGGTTTACTTCCACCCTTGTAGGATTGATCCAAAAGAGGGATGGCCACTTCCTCTTTTTTTTTTTTTTATTTATTTATTTAATTTATTTATTTTTGGCTGCACTGGGCCTTCATTGCTGCATGTGGGCTTTCTCTAGTTGCGGTGAGTGGGGTCTACTCTTCATTGCAGTGCGCGGGCTTCTCACTGCGGTGGCTTCTCTCGTTGTGGAGCACGGGCTCTAGGCACGCGGGCTTCAGTAGTTGTGGCTCATGGGCTCTAGAGCGCAGGCTCAGTAGCTGTGACACCCGGGCTTAGTTGCTCTGCGGCATGTGGGATCTTCCCGGACCAGGGATCGAACCTGTGTCCCCTGCATTTGCAGGCGGATTCTTAACCACTGCACCACCAGGGAAGCCCGCCACTTCCTCTTTAGGAGCCCTGACTCATCATTCTCAGTGCAAATCCCATTCCCAATTTCTTTGACAATTGTTCGTTCCTTGGCCAGAAATCTGGTTCTTGAATTCCCTCTCCTGTTCTTTCCATGATCTGGGAACCATCTTTGCGAACCAACCCCATCTCCGTTTTATGGAGCCAGAAGAACAGAGAGGTAGAGCCATGTCTAGGCAGCAACACAGCAAGCCTACAGGAGCTGGGAATGCCTCCTTACGTGAATGCCCTCTTCTTGTCTTTGGATGCGAAGGGAAAGGATGTGATCCCCGAGGGAAAGGGCAGGGTTGTCCAGAGCAGGGTGTGTTATCAGCTAGAAGAGCACCCGCACCCAGCCACCTCAATCTAAATGTGCACACAATGGAAATATCTTCACAGCCAAGGGCCCCTCCCTCCCAAAGAGAAAATCCCACAAGTGGGGAACATCTGGATCAAACCGCAACCATGAAAGCACAACATCAAACGAGGGTTTCAGAGGGACCCTCCCCGCAGGCCCTGCTCCAAGAGAAATTGCAGATCTTCCTGCTTGAAGCTTTTAAGTGTCACAGAACCACTCAAGTTTGGGATCTCTCCTTATTCACCAGAGACAGATGTCCCCAAGTGAGTACGGTTGGGTTTGATTACCCCCAGCGGGAGAGGATGTGTGTGACCTGATCCGGGCCATGTTGGGGGGTAGCCTGGGATTTAAAGCTGTGATGAGGGGCTCCAGCAGTTCAGGCTGGGGGCTGGGGAGAGAGAGGGGACAGGTGGGCCTTTTAAAAACGTGCCTACATCAAAGGCCTGAGCGGGCTCCCTTCCCAGCTTTGGCGCCTCAGGGCAGGAAGGCAGCGATTTCACCACGTAACTGCACGTAGGAGTAGGACGGATCTCAGTCTGAGAACTTCTGGGGAATGTGGAGAGGGGAGGGAGGGTGTTCCCCAGAGGGGAGGACAGGGCAAGGGGGTTTTCTCATTTCCAAAATAGCCTGCCCAGGCCAAGGAGAATGGGGCCATATGCTGCCTCCCTCCCACTCTCCCCCTGTGGAGGGATGTGGGGGAGGGGGGCATTCTTCCAGGGGGGAGAGGAGGGAGCAGCTGCAGCCGTGGGAGGTGGGAGCTGGATCCGGATGGAGAATGAAGGGGAAGCAGGGGCATCTTCCCCAAAGGCACGAAGGAGGAAGGCTGCAGAGCATGTAATTCTGGGAGACGATAGGCTCTTCCTTCCCGGGTCCTGGGAATCAGAGAGCACCTGGCCATGATGCTGGCAGGCTGGGATGGACAGTGGGGAAGATGGGATAGGGAGGTGCCCCAGATATGGCTGGAATCCCAGTTCATGTTTGAATACTCTGCCCAGAGGGCAGGTGGGTGAGAGAGTGCTGGGATGTTGACAGCCCTCTGTGACCTTGGTTGAAGAAGCCAATGGTTTCTTCTTGAGGTGAAAGGTGACCTTCAGTTGGGAAGGGTGTGGGGAGAAGAAGGGTACCACTCGCTTATAGTTTACATTAACCTCCCTTTCAGGATGCCTTCCCTGCCCCCTTCCTCTCCTCTTTCCCGTGAGAGGTTTATGTGTGGGCGTAGTACCCCACGATGCCTGGGAGGTGTATCACCGGTGGAGGTCCATCCTTCACTGCCTTATAAAGATCTGCTTACGGTTTCTTTTCCCATCTAGACTGTCAGCTTTGAAGGCATGGACTCCCTCACTGTAACTGGGTTCCTAGTGCCCCACACAGTGCCTAGCAGAGAGTAGCTGCTCGGTGATGAAGCCCTGCTCCAGCTCCCAGCTGGAGCGCGCTCTCCCGCCGCCAGCGTTCTGGGAAACAAAACAACCCACGTGATGATTCCTCCGCAGTCGAGGCCTCTGAGGGGCTACAAGGGCATCTCCTATCTGACCTCCTCTGGGAGTCTTCTGGGGGGAAGTTGACAGCACTCTCTCCCACCTCTGATATGTACTGTCCACAAGATTCACCCGGGATTTCCCTGCTGGTCCAGCGGTTAAGGCTTCGCAATTTCAGTGCCTCCTCTTCAGGGGGAACGAGTTCGATCCCTGGTTGGGGAACTAACATCCCCCATGCGGTGCGCGGGGGTGGCCAAAACAAACAAACAAACAAACGAAAGCAAACAAAAAAAGATCTCACTACACCTTCATGGTGAGGGTTATTATTGTTATTTACTAATCTGGGATGGATGTGTCTTTCTTGGTTGCGTGAGACCCGAGGCTCTTTGGGACCGCAGTGCCCAGCATGAAGTCTCCTCAGGACAGGCTGGCTGTTGACTAGCTGACGCCTCCAAGTCCTAGTGTCTACGCTTTTGATGTGGTGGCTCCTCTGGGGCTCTGATGGCTGAGCGTCGGGAACTGCTGAGTCGGGATGTCTTGGCGTAATCGGGTGAATTGGACACACACGCGAAGGAGCCCGGTCCCAGTGAGGTGAGGCCTGAATGACCCTGCAGGTCGAGAGAATGCTTGAGCGGGGATGTTGCGAAAATGACCAAGGTCGGTGGGCTCTATTCAGAAAAACTCTTTGGGCAAGGAATGTATGAAAGAGGTTGGAAGGAGAGAAGGGCAGGGCTGGCAGAGGTTGCAGGAGGATATCCAGGTGGGATAGACTTGGCCGTGGGTGAGGAGGCTAAAGCGGCTCTGCCTGCAGGTGAGGGCCCAGGAGGGAGGGGCTTGGGCAATTGTAAACATTCCCTGTACACTGCGGGGACTGTGACCATGGCTCCACAACCCGCTCCCATCCCTCCCCAAACTCTAGGCCAGGTGGTATCCTACATCTCACCGCCATTTCTAGGCCCAGGCTGACCTGTGCTCCGGCAACATCACCTGACACCGAGCTCGGGTTGGATCAGCTTTGCTCTGTACCCTTGCAGTCCTCCCTGGGGCTGCAGCTGCCTTTGAAGTCGATGGAGAGAAGATTGGTGAGCTGTCGCCTGAGCCTAGATCTCCCAGACATCAGTGAGGGGAGGGGATCTCCACTTTGAGCCCTTTTTCGGGGGGCTGAGGTGTTGACGCTTTAGTTGTCAGAACTTACGTTTCTCATCTGTGAACGCAGCGCGAAGCTGACCGAATTGCCAGCATCTCTGGGCTGCAGGGTGGCAGCACTGCTCAGCTCCAGGGACCAACCACTCACCATACTCCTGGAGCACAACTCTAGGTGGCGCCGTTCTCATAGAATTTGACGTGCGTGGTCGCCGCATTCCCCCCCCCCCAAGGTCGCATGGTGATGGTGGGCCACCATCATGCCCTTTTTGAGTCAGGGTTCTGTTTACCAGTCTAAGCTGGTTAACCTGAGGACCAGGAATATTCATGAGGCTTTGCCCGGGGACAGAGAGATGAACAAAATAGTCTCCAAAGTCATGTCCTCATGAGACGTGGGCACCAGGAGACCAGAGTGTCTCCCAGACAACAGGTCCACAAAGCAGGGTGCAGTCTGAGGCCAAGTAGCAGGGAAAAGAAATGACAAACTCCATCCATCGGGGAAGGAAAACTGTCTTTCACCCCCAGATTGAAAAGAATAACCCACGTGTAAAGACCCAGTGACACTTAGTAGGTCTGCAGTTACCATGAGGTGAACCAGAATCAGTGCCGACATTCCAGTCTCTAGGTTCGGGGTTCTTGGAAGCAGAAAGGCCTAGCCGCCCTGGTGACACTTGTGCATGGGAATTTGCTGAAATCTGAAATGAGATCCTGACCCAGATGGGGGTCAGGAATTTGTTTCCTTCCCTTTTTCTCCTTCTTAGTTCACTGTTTAGGATGAAAAATGACAACCAGATGAGCAAAAGAATGATTATCAGGAATGATAAATAATACACTCCAGATGTGGCCGGAGAGAAATGCAACCGAAAGCACCACCGCCTCCAAGTAGTCACGTTGGGGCGACCCCCTTCTCCCAACAAGGCCACAATGACAAAAGTTCTCTAACTCTTCTTAGGGAATTGTCTTCAGGGTATGTGGCTTAGTCATTTTTTTTTTTTTTTTTTGCGGTACGCGGGCCTCTCACTGTTGTGGCCGTTGCGGAGCACAGGCTCAGGACGCGCAGGCTCAGCGGCCATGGCTCACGGGCCCAGCCGCTCCGCGGCATGTGGGATCTTCCTGGACCAGGGCACGAACCCACGTCCCCTGCATCGGCAGGCGGACTCTCAACCACTGCGCCACCAGGGAAGCGCTGTGGCTCAGTCTTTAAATGTCCTTATTGGTGACAGATCTTTATCATTTGCTTCTCTGGAATCAGTCAAAAAACAGTTTGTAGCTAATCATGGTTGTCTTGAGTATTTTGTAAAATGGCTAGAAAGTCCATTTTAAAGCAGTCTTTGCAGAAATGGTTTAATCAAGAGAGGTACAGATGGGATAAGCGTATTTCCTCCTAAGGTGACTGTTCCGAAGGACAGCCCTTGTTTGTTCTTCCGTGTTTGTTTAGAGAAGCTAATCACAGGTATACATCCCATACTGTATTCTGTATAATCAAAGAATGTATTAGGATGTTGATGGCTGTATGCTAACTGCTTCCCCCTCCTCCTGCTATTATGACTTAATGCCTCTGAGGACAGTGCCCTTGCTTTTGCTGAGGGACAAGGGGAATAGAGGCGGGGCTGACCCAAGTGAAGAATTGGTAAAATTATCCAGGGCAAAGGTTCGGATCGCCATCTACCCTCGAGAGTTGCCTAACTCTGCACTCCTTTCTGGACTAGCTCTGTGTTCATTCTTCCAGGGGACTTGGCCAACTGGGCAGAGCCATTTTTTAGGGGAGAGGGATTCATTTCTTAGCATGGTTCCCTGTCATTCGTGCAAAAATCAGCACAAGTTTAAGAGAGGGAAGCTGGTGGTTCGTGACTTATGTAAAAATGTTATTTTTCACAGAAGTGGAGGGGATGAGGTCAAAACGCACCCACACAGCAACCTGTTTCTAACAACGATCGGTTAACCTACATGAAGAACTCTCCAGTTCCAGAAGTTTCCTGGATGTTTGCTTTCCTGAGGAAAGACCTGGAAGAAGGGGGTGAGCCCTGGACTGGGGAGCCTGAGGGTCAGTCTCGGGAATACTTGCCCGCCTTGGGCGGTGGCCTCTCTGTCCTCTGGGAGAGGCTCCTGTCTCTGGTCTCGAGCCGGGTGTGTGTGGTGGTGTGGGTGTGATCACCGGGGCTGGGGGCACAGGGAGGGATGGCATGACCTCTAGGAGGCCCTAGTGCGGCAGAACGCTCAGCTCTCCTACTCCTTCGCTGACAGACCAAGCTGCAAATCAGGAATTTATTAGGAGCTGAGACTCATTTCCCACCCTTTACAGCCCTGACGACTCAGAGCCAGACTCTGGCAAGGGGCTTCCTCATGGTTTTAATTAGACAATTAATTTTTTATTGGGTCGTTTGATTTCCGGAGCCGATTCCACTCTCCCTCTTGTCCCCCACCTGCCTCCCAGCTGTGAACAGCCAAGGGGAAGCCGGGGGATTTGGGGAGGGTGCAGAGGAAAAATCCGCTGTCTGCCCTGAGCTGATCTGGGAGTCAGTGAGTGGGGAGGGGGTGGGAATCCCTCTGCCCCCCTCAGCTGGTCCAGCACCAGAGATAGTGTCCAGAGCTCAGCCCTGGGCTTGCGGGGCTGCACAAAGGCATTCCTAGCTACTCCCCCAAGCTGTTGGGCTAATTAGTAACATGGGGTGGGAGCGGGGGTAGGGAACTGTGCCCAAAATACCTTAGCAGCATTTCTGCGGTTAATCCTGGCCGTGCTCGGAGGCTGTTTACCCTCTACCCAGGGATTAGGAACCTGTTTGAGTTAGAAGGGCAGAGAGAGGCCAGGGCCTCTGTCCTCCACCTGCTTTTAGGAGCTGGGGCAGGGACCCTGAGCCAGCAGGGAAAAAAGAGAGAGAAACCTGTCTCTAATCGATCTCCCTTATTGATTTCCCTGCCGCCCAGCTGCTGGCCTGCTTTTGAATCTCGATCCTTTCCCCTCCTGCCTCACCCATGGACGCTGCCCTCGTCGTCAAGTAACAAGCTGGATTCGAAAGGTGGGGAGGAAGGAAGGAGGAGGATGTGGTGCAGTGGGGATGAGCCCGGGTGTAGAAGGGTCCCCTGCGGGTCATAAATGTTCTCTTGGAGGGTGGGGAGTCCCCGCCTGAGATTCCTGATCATCTCCATCCTCCAACCCAGAAGGAAGAGAAGGCTAGACTCAAGGAAGAACTTACTCATTTTCAGTAGCAGAAACAAGCAGCTCCTTCTTCAGAGCTCTGTGATAGGGCAAGGCCAATTTCTATTGACAGCAACGTTGCTCAGAGGCCTTGAAATGGAATTGCGGGGAGTGAGGGGACTGTTTCCTCAGGTGCCCTGTTGGTGGGGACATTGTCACTTGTTGTTCTGGCACAAGGACTCCTGAAAGTGTGCAGTCACACGCGCTGACCTAGCCACTCAGAGCCTAACTGACAAGCGTCTGCAGACACAGGACTGTGCTCCGAGGAGCCTCTGGGGACAGGGCTCTGGGGTCCTCGTGGGTGGAACAAGCCCCCCAGAAGAACAAGCCAGGACACCATTCAAAGAGGGGAGCTCCGGTGACCCTCCCCGCCGTCCACCACCTCCTCTCACATGAGCGAACCCCAGCGTTAGGGCACGTTGGATCCACCCAGCACCACCCCTCACTGGCCGGGAGAACATAGACTTCCCTTGGGGCCCAGGACTGGAAGAAATAGGAGTGCATATTTATACTGGGTTGTGAGGGACACAAAGATAAAAGGACCCAGAGATCAAAGAGCCCCCAGAAGCTCGGTGTGCAGACCTCTGGGTCTAGGATTTGTTCTGTAAACAGATTTCCTTCTCCTTTGGGGAAAACTCACATGGAGGGATCCCTCCCTTAGGGCTTGTGGTGGTTCCACGCTGGGGGCAAGGGGACAGCCTGAGGTGGGCCTTGTTGGGACACAGGCCTGCCTCCTGCTGGGGCACATCTCTGACTGCCCAAGCCGTGCAGAGCTCCACAGAAGAAAGGGACAGGAAAGTTGTGTACATGCCGTGGTGGGTGAAAGGCAGAACGAGCCCAGATCATCCATTGACATTTGTGCTTCCATGCGGCTCCCAGGTCGAGAGGGTTCAGACCTTCCACGACTCAGGGCGCTGGGTTAAGGAGGGTGCGTGGAGATCCTGAGCTGGGCAGTTCCGGGCCACAGAGAACAAAGGAGCTGGGGGTACAGGCAAACCTCCATCAGAGAGGTCGTGTGTGTGTGTGTGTGTGTGTGTGTGTGTGTGTGTGTGTGTGAGCCTGTGGGTCAGCATCCATCCGTAGGGAGCAGGGAGGGAAAGAGATGATGAAGAGAATAGGAGAAAGAGAAGAAATAAAAATGAAGGCACTGAAACAGAGAGAGCAAGCTAACAGACCCACACAAAGAGAGGCAGAGAAACACTGCAGGAGCCTGGGGACCAGGCAGCAGGAGGCGGGGAGGGGAGAGCCTCTGGAGGGTCAGCAGCGAAAACAATCGGCCAGGCTTCTGCCCGGGAAGGTGGGCAGGAAGGCAGGGAGGGGAATGGGTGGCAGAGAAAGCCCCCCCCCTTGCCGGGTAGGGCAGAGGAGCTGGAACCTGAGTCTCCCAGCTCCCAAGCAATCAGCCTTCTCCCCCTGCCCTCGCCCTGAGCCCAGGGCTGAGATTGACGGGACTGCAGCTTCTCTGGGTCTGGGTGGATTTGAATAATTAAGTCATCTGGATTCTTATGATTTACCATTTTCAGTGATAAATAGACAGCGCCCAAGCCAGCCAGTTGGCAAAACTCTGGCTGCTAGTTATAATTTGTCAAGCTGCCAGTAGATTCATGTTTCATGCTAATGGAGAGAGACTCATTGACTGGGGGAGGCGGTGACCCGGTCAGCTCTTTCCTCAGGCACCCCAGAGGTCGAGAGGTCGGGGGGAGAAAGGCCGGGCCGGTATGGATTTGCTGTAAGGGTCAGTGTAATTTTATAATAATTCAGCGGGTACCCACGCTCTCGAATACACAGAGAGTCATGTATGCGGAGATATGTTCGGATCTGTGCACCTGCCCCGCCCATGCACCTGCTCCAGTGCAGGCGTCTGGGCCCAGTGCACACAAGCCTGGTGCTGAAACACTTGTCCAGCCCCCTCAGCTCACTTGCACATGTACACCCTGCTGTCACCTTCAGGCATGCGATTATACCAAGGCAAACCTGCAGACCTGCTCAGACACCCAGAGAAACGTATCTCCCCTCACCGACAATGCACACCTCAAAGCTGGGAAGATACCTCTGGGGGACCCCTCTGACCACCACCCCAACCCCTTTATTTCAGGGCTCTCGTGTCTGCCGTTCCCACTGCACAACTCTTGCTCCTTTTCTAACAGTCTTCCAGTGAGGGAGACAAATGAGCCCTGGAGCCGTCCTATTTTCCAACCGGCTGGGTCTGGGTAGCCGGAGTTGGGAAAGCACGGGCTCGGAGACGGGGCATATGGAAGGCGGCAATCAAAATCCAAACTTTCTTTTCCATCAGTTCATTTATTTATGTATTTGTCCACATGCACTAAAGCCTCACAGTGGCAAGAATCTCATTACTGACCGTCATGAAAAACAGAGGTAGGGACAATGCTTCGCACATAGTAGGTACTAAATAAATATCAGTGGCACGAACGGCTGCAGCTACTGGTTGATTTCTCGACAGAACAAACTACTCATTTCCCTTCTCTTCCTCCGCCTCAACAAACCTTTATCATCAGAGAAGGCCAGAGAAGAGGTGTGGGTCTGGGTGAAGCCCTCCTATTCCTTGACTTGAGAAATCTGGGCCTTTGGCGTGATAAAAAATGCTAATTTTATACCAACAGAAGCCATCCGGTCTCAATTTTGACCCCCAAATGCCCTTAAAATGGATCAATGAGCAAGGGAGGACTGAGGAAGGAGCATCTGTCCTCCCTCCTGCCCAGAAGAGAATTTGAATTTGCTTTGAGTGCGTAGCTTGTGAGCAGGGCCAGAAGCCGCAGCTCATTACCATCGGCAACTTTAAGGTTTGGCGGGGGCGTGCGGAAGGATCAGGGGCCCGAGGAGAAACATTGCCTTTCCGTGTCCCCCAAAGCCCCTAAATGAGAGAGAAAAACACAATAGCGAGCCGAACAGAGCAGAGACCGAGGCAGCAAGGAGAACCCCCAAAGACAGAAGCTGCTTCCAGCGTCAGGCTCAGGCTCGAGGATGCAGTCGCAGCTCTTGGCTCTGTCCGTGGAGATTCAAGATTCCGGATCCTGCGAAGTGAATTGGGTTCCCTCCTTCCCAGCGGGGCCAGGCTGGGGTCAAGGAGGCTGCTCTGGGCAGACAGTCTGGAACCCCTCCACCAAGGCCTGGAATAAGAGGCCTCCCTTCTTTGGCGAGCAGAGGTGGATGGCGGCGGCAGGCCCGGCTAATCAGAGGCATTCCTTGGAGAGACAGCCAAGAGCCAGAACCGACCAGTTTCTCCATTCAAGGGAAAGAGGACCCCTAAATGCATCGGGAATAGGGAAACAGGCTTTGCTTATTTAATAGTTTGAGGCTCTGACCTGGTTTCACTGACGTCATCCCACCTGCACCAAGGTGAGCTCCTGCAGGCCCTCACTCACCCCGGGAGAGCAACAGCCTTGGGGGCACCAGCAACTCCACCCCTATGGGCAGGGGCAGGCCGACTGTGGCCTGCAGATGGGTGAGGTGGGGAAGGATTTTCTGGGGTAAGCCACGGGAACGTGAGGGCACTAATCATGATTGATACAGAAGATGTGTCGCTTCATCCCGCACTTGATTAGCAAAGCTTCCTCCCCATTTTGCCTCTCATCTTCCGTTCCTAATATTTGCATCCAGGTAATGAACTCCTGAGGTCAGGGCACATGTTACCTTGTCTGAAGGTCTCAGAGCAAAGCCTCTGAGTACGAAGACAGTACAAGAGCCCCAGCCTGGACTAGATGAAGAGGGAGAGAGAAAGAAAAGGAAAAACAGGAAGAAGGAAGGAAGGGAGCAAGTGGGTGGGGGGGTGTGGAGAGAGATAAAAGAAGGAAAGGAGCTTGAGAATGGGGAGGAAAGCTAACAGAGTGATGCTAAAATTGGCCGGTGGTTTGAGGGTTGCATTTTCAAGGCTTATGCTGCCCTTGGAAGATGTGCTGACCTTAGCGACCTGCCCCATCCCACTTTGGGGAAACAAAGGAGCTATCTAATTGGCTTTAACTGGGTGGTTGCCGCTGGAGCACATGGACAGGGTGGGGGAGCACAGGCCCAAGAGGCTGCAGACACACAACCATCCCAAGTCAACCTCCTCTACAGGCTGAATCTGAAGCCATTTTGCCAATTAATCTGTGTGTGTGTGTGAGTTCCGTGAAATACACTGCAGACCGAAAGCCCGCTTGCCCCAGGAAGGCACGTCCTCGTTCTCTTTCAGCATGCGATGCTTTCTTTGGTTCCTCCAGCATCTATAAACCTCACACCAAGCTCTTTATAGATTAATCCAACCCCTTCTGGCATGGAGAAATCCCTTGCCCTGGAAGGTAGCTTTCTGGGGCAGGGATGGAGATAAGTATGGCAAAGGAGGAAGATTTTTCTTCTCACCAAGGAAGAAAATGAAGATGTCCTTCCCAGAACGGACCGGGCCTTATCATCACCCCTCTCTCACCTGCACACATACAGGCAGGCTAACCTAACCAAAGTGCCAGAAGAACCCTCCAGTGCAAAGGGTTCATTTGACACAGAGAACAAACTGAGGCCCAAGGTCACAGAGCCAGAGCATGGAGAACAAAGCGGCCCAGTCTGCAGACAGAGGAGGCAGGTCAGGAGGCAGAGCCAGGGTGGGTCCGCGACTCACCCCTCTCGAAACTGCTTCTTCTGCTTCCAGCACTGCTTTGGGAGCCACATATTGACCTGCAGAGCCTCAAGGCCAGCCCCAGGCAGGTGCGGCTGCACAATGAACTCCTCCAGCTCTGTCAGCTACTTCGGAGAGAAGTGAGTCTCAAGGGGCTGGCCTCCGCCTCCACCCCTCCTGTGGCGCCGGCCTGCAGCCTGCCTGGGGTGGGCACTGGAACCTGGAAGGTCAGGGTCACGGCAGCCAGGATACCTGGGAGACCCCGCCTCAGCCCCACTGGGCCTCTCCCCGCTCACCCTCCTCTCCGCGCCTTTCCTGCCACTGTTCCTCCCATCTAGACCCCCTTTCTGTTAACCCTGTTCCCCCTTCTTTCCTTTCTCTCTGTATATTTCTCATTTTTCCTTCCTTCGTTTGCCTTCTTCCTGCCCTCCCTCCACTTTTTTCTCCTCTCTTCCTTCTTTCCTTTTTTCCTAGCTTTCCTCCTTTCCTACCCGTCTCTCTTTCTCCCATTCATTTCTCTTTTATTTTTTTAAAAACTTCTCTTTCTTTTCCTTCCCTTTTCTTTTACTTTCTAGCTCCTTTCATTCATTTGCTTTTCTTTTCCTTCCTTCCTTCCTTTCTTTCATTCTTTCTTTCTTTCATTTCGCCTCTTTCCTTCTTTCATTTTTCCCTTCTTTCTTTTCTTTCTCTTTCCTTCTCTTCTCTCATACAACAAACTAATCTTGCTTCTTCATGCCGTCCTTTATCAACATTCCTTCATTTCATCTCCCTCCCCTGCTCTCTCCCGAGTTCCTTCCGCTGCCCCCAGTATTGGGGCTTTCTCGAATTTTCTCTTCCCTCACCAGTCGTTTCTCTTTGTTGTTCTCAACTTTTCCAGTCCTTTGTGCTGTTTCCTCGACCTCCTTTCCATCTTCCATTGTTTCTAAATCCTCTCTCTGCAACAAGCATAAGGCATAAAAGTGCCCCCTCCCCAGGGTGGGGCTTCCGTCCTGTGCCAGCCTAGCCACCCTTCATGCCATTCCTTCTCAACCTTCCTCAATGTGGGGTTCAATTTCAAGGGCCCAGGAATGGGGCTGTTCCCTGCTAGCTGAGAAGTCAGGGCTAGGTCCACAGCTCCCCACTACAGGCTTAGGAGACACCTGCCAAACTGTTGTCACTCCATCAATCCTAGTAAAAGAGAAAGGGGAAGAGAGGAAAAGAGTAAAAGAGAGACAGCTCCACAGACTGTGTGTGCGTGGTGTTGGGGAGGAAGGGGCAAAACGGACTGGATTCATCAAAGAGGGAGGGGGCAAAGTCCAGAACCAGGCACCTTCTCTTAGTGCACCCAGAGCTGGGGGCAGCCTGCAAAAGAAACCCCAGTCGGCTCCCATGTTCATTTTGGGATTGGGCAGGATGAGACCTTCCATCCAACTCCTCTGGGCTGGAGAGGTGCGCAGGGCCTCGGGATGGGAGGAAAGAAAAGGGCTTATATTTGAGTATCAGTTGCCTTTACATCTACCCCTCGACACATCCCTCCCGAGGCCCCCGCCCTGGAGGCCTCCGAATCCCTAGGCGGTGCCCCCTGCGGCCCTCCTGGACCTCTCAGCTAGGCGGGCCTAGTTCCAGGGCTCCCTCGGGAGCAGTGCCGGGGCAGCCCCTGGATTACTCACAGCAAAACCTCAGGTGCAGTGAAAACAAAGGCCTGGGAGGATTGGCCGCTCTTGACCAAAAGATGTGGGCCAAGTAGAGGCCAGAGACACCACTTGCTCGACATGGGAATTTTCTCTCCTGGATCCACAGTCCCTCTCGGCCCTTTCCAAGAAGCCGTCCAAATGCTGCAGCCGCCTCCTGCCTGGCTCCTCAGGCCAGACCTGCAAACCTCAGGCTCCACGGAGACCCTCCGCCCAGGCTGGGCCTCCCTTTCCGGGGCTCCAGAGTTCCCTTGGCCCTGCCAGTGCACCTGCCGCGGCCTCGACCCTCGCCCGCTTTCCCAGACCCCGCAGGCCAGCCCCCGTCCCCGCCTTGGACTGCCCACTCCCGCAACTCTCCACCCGGGGTCCCCAAGTTCAGTCGCGCCCTCTGAACCAACCCTCTTTGACTCCCTTTTGAAGAGCCTCCTCCATCCCTTCCTCCCGGGACTTCTCTTGGGACGGGGGGCAATGCCAGACCCGGGAAGGGGGTAGGGGGCTCTTTTCCTGGCCCTACTGCGGGAGCTGCAGGAAGTTGGAAGGTGGTTGCGCTGGGGCCGGGGAGGAGTCCTCCCTGAATTCCATCTTAGGGCAATGGGTCTCTGAGTCAAATTGGAATTAAAAGGAGAAGAAAAAGAAGAAATTCATGTCACTCCTAACTTAAAATCAGCAAAAGGTCCCGGGGCAGCAGGGGCCCCAGGAGGTCCCGGGCTGAGGCTCTGGGGCGATACCCCGCCCCCACCGCGGCAGAGTCGAAAACTACTATTTTCGGCTAGTACGTCTCTCGCTTTCCTGGGAAAGCCCTTTGGGGATCTCCAAGCGTCTCTAAGAGCTTGCTGGATGAGCAGGTTTGGGACCTGCCCGGGTTTTTCTACATCCGTAATCAGCCCTGATTGGGAAACAAACTCATCCTTCCTTTACTATAAGAAGCAGGGGGCCCTCCCCCTCACTTTAAACTTCAGAACCCCAACTCTGCTCCCTTTTCCGTCTCTCTTCAATAAACTTTTCTGAAGTTCCCGCAAGTTGCGTTTGGGGAAAGAAGTGATCACCCTCAGACGCTATGGGTCTCTAGGCCCCCAGTTTCTCCCATCCTCTCTAGTTTCAGAAGCAACACTCCTCGTCCCTCTGCCAGCTGCCACCTTAGTCCCCAAACTCGGGGGAGGAAAGCTGCTCTGGTCCCACTCCTCTGATCAGTGGGGATTAGTATCTGCCAGCAGGGGAGCCGGGATGGAGTAAGGAGAGACAGAGATGGGGAAAGGCAGATTGCTTTCAGGCTACAGCGCACCCCTCCCGGACCCAGCTCACCTGCTCCAGACGGGTTCCTCTTGATTTTTATCCACTCAAAAGTTTGTCTTTCTCTCACACTGTCTCAGGAGGTGCGCAAACTCGGCCGTCGGGGTAGGGTGGGCGCCCCTGAGAGCGCAGGCGCCTGATTCAGAGCGAGCCCCGGGGAAGCGGTACTCGCGTGCATCTTCCCCAAGGTGGGGGCCCAAGCAGTAATCCGGAGGCATGACACTCAGGCGCCCGGGGTACTGGGTCAGGCTGCCAGCCCGGGACTGCCCGGGGCCGATTGGGCGCTATAGAGGGAGAAGCCAGCGGGACCGGGCAGGCTCGGGGAACTGGAAGGGGAGGACCCTGGGTGCCTGGCGACGTCTCTCGCTTCCTCCAGTTTGCGCCCTCCCGGGTGTGTCCCAACCCACAACATTCCCTCAACCCGTTCTGGGGCGACACTCAGGGCCCGGACTAGGCAGAGAGGGAGGGTGAGGGGACGAAGTGACCCCTCTACTTAGCCCCTCCCCAGCGCCCGCGCCACTGCTCCCCGCCCCCGCTTCCCTGCCCAGAGCCAAGGGACATACAGAGAATTGCAACTAGAAATTCGATCGATTGGTACGAGGGACCACGTGGTCCGGGGCTGGCCAATGACCAGGCCGCCCGGGATGAGCTAATAATGGAAGCAATTTGTAACTTTCAGTAGCTCTCTAGGCCTGGGTACCGGAGGGAGGGAGGCGGGCGGAGGTGGGGAAATGGGTGACCCCCAGTCCTTCCACCCTCCTCATTCGTTCAGGGCAGCGGGATCCCCGAATCCTCCTTTCCCCCAACACGCATGCACTCGCAGAGTCCCGCACCCACTTCTGTCCGGCAGCCGCTGCTCCAGAGCAAGGTAAGCGGGTCCTCCATCCCTCAAACACCCCAGCCCCATCCTTTCTGGCACCTGCAAAAAACGTCCCTCTTCTTGCCCCATTAGACAATTTAAATCCGGTTTTGTTTTTCTCTTAGTTGAAAAAATATAATCCTTTTGTATTTTTTCGTATAATTTCAGATTTGTGGAAAGATTAAGTTCAGATTAATATACTTTACTTGGAGGGTTAGTGGTACTTTTGGGATCAATTTTATATTCTGTTCTTTTGGAGAGGAGCATTCTACTTAAGGAGAGTTTGCAGATGACTTACACCCTATGTTTTTGCAAGTTTCACTTTTCTGATGATGTTAAG